CTGAGGTAGCTACCCATTTTCCTTGTAGCTAAAATGGCCTCTGGCTAGAACTGGAACCTTTGGTTCCAGGAAGCCTGCATAATCCAAGGAAGATTATCGGATCCTTGAGGCTTCTCCTTCTGTTGACCAGTGATTTATTTTATGGTGCTGACGTGTTAAAATGCTCTTCTTAGTTCAGTCAAATCTATAAAATATCAGTTATAATCTCAGCATTATGGATAGCTGAACTCCACAAAAGGATGTCTCCAGGATGCTGGAGGGGAGAAAAACCTGTCCTTGACCAGGTGCTCTGGGTTTTTGCAGTCAGGTAATTTTCCACACAGGTTAGTATGGAACTGAAAGAAAGTAAAAAGAAATGACACTAACTAATCAATGCCATGCGAGGCTGGTGTGTCTCATAGAACCAAACTCAGCCAAGAGCTGAGGTGATGTAATCTGAATCATCAATGTAAAAAACTCTAATAAAGGTTTCGTCTGAGCAGAGCCCAAACCACAGCAGTAGGCAGTAAGGTCTGTACAGCAGGAGAGTGTCTGTGTACATGCAAATCAAAACAAGATGCCAGAACTAACTAAGAACTGAAGCCTGGAGAATGGACCAGCCTTCTCCTGGGCATCCTTCTTCTGCCTGTGTCACATCCCATCCCATGTGCAGAGGGAAGGGGAAGCTGGAGTTAAAACCCCATACACAAGGGGCTGAGCCGAGAGCACTCTTGTCCCAGGCTGTTTCACAGCATGAGATGGGCCCACAAGTCAGCCAGCTCTCACAGATCCTTTTAAGTGCATGATCCACTTTTTCCACTCTGATCTTGCAAGGGAGCTATCAGCACAAATGTGTGGTCGCAGGGGGAGAGCGCCATCATCGAATCTCTACTTGGGTCTGCACCTGAAGACCACAAAGACACTAGAAAAAGTTATCGCAACTCTAGCTTGCTCTGCGTGTGACCTGGAAGGAGCACGAAGGCACAGAAACAGCCCGCTGAACTTCTTAATCGGTTGCAGTGTTAATGTGAAAAGTGTCTTCCTGTCTAAGGGCATGATCTCTTATGGCAGTGTATGGGGAAAAGAGGGCTCTCTTCATCGAGTAGATTTACATTTTTTTTAAGTACCCTAGAGGAGCAGGAATTGAACTGCCTAAGAAAGGTAATACAGGCCCAAGCCTGTATTAGCTTCTGCTGGGCCAGAGGGGGATACTGTGTGTACCCTGCCCTCCCCCACTCACTACATTTAGGGATGAAATGTAGGCTAGGGGATTGGAAGCCAAGCTGGGGAAGGGAGATAATGTATGATGAACCATAGGCAAATGCAGAACACTAGAACTGGAAGGAACCACAAGAGGTCAGTCATCAAGTTCAGTCATCAAGTCCCTTCACAGCAGGACCAAGCACCATCTAGATCATGTGATGCCGGTGGGCAGGGTGGGAGAAACAGGACTGACTGGGCAATAAGACTGGGAGGGAGAGACCAGATTATTGACATTATAACTTGCAGGACAAGAGACTGGGGCTGAGATAAGACACCTTAGGAGTGAAGACTATGATTGGCTAAATGAGGAGAATGGGAGTGGGATGAGGCACCAGGGGTGGAAAAGAAACAGGACTGGGAAGGAGCAGAAAGGGATTATGCTTGAGAGAAAAAGGACAGAAGAGTCTCCCCTCTAGAGTCTGGAATGGAATCCAAGATCCCTGAGTCTCCTCTGCTGTCAGCATGTAAGTGTGAAACCCAGTGTCTCGAGGGCTGGTCAAGAGGCACCACAGAAAAGCTCATCTGGAAATGAATAACTGGGTTTAAATAGTGTAAAGTAAGCAAGGAACAGGGCCACACATTGAACAATGAAAGGAAAACAAAATATTTAAGTGAGAACTGTTCATCTGATGCATGAAATGAGGTAAAAGTAAATAATGCTTGGTCACAGAATGACCAGATTAGGGTGCACAGGCAAATTAATTCCGGCATTTTCTAACCTCTGAGTGCTTGACTTTGTAGCCTTCACGTTCTTTTTTATATTGGGAGATGGGGGAGTTTGAGAGAGAGAGAGAGACTGAGAGATGTATTTTCCTTAATCATCGGTTTTAATCCATTCTGTTTGACATATGGTGGGAGCTGTGCTGAGTGTTGCACATTTGGTCTCCTAATAGTTTACTTACTTCTGTGCTCGCCTGCTCTGTGAAACATTAGAGCAATCAACAGGCGGATAGTCTCTTGTTTGTGGCTGTAAGAAGATTTTAAAAAATCCTATGCCCCTCTTGCTATCATATTTAACTAACGCAGCTACACGAGGTTCCTAGTTTAAACATTCCTTGTCATGTAGCAAAATGTAAACCCTGCCACTGACTTGCAATTGACATATAATGATTGCATTTTTATTGTTTACCAACAAATACTATTGGACCTAGGATCATAAACACAAAGGACAGTGTAGAACTTTGATCTGCAATTGTACACTCGCCGTCCTCAAATTGTTTTACCACAAGCCTATGAATTGCCTTAATTATTTAAACAAACATGTTATCTGCAGCCATAATAATCTCAAACGTCTCTGCTAGAAAGAATTTAAACAGTCATTGCAGCTGTGGAAGTGCCAGCTTAACTGGTCTCAGGGAGAAAAACGGTTCCCATCTCACATAACCTTGGTAGGGTTAGGGAAAAAAATCATTTAATGGATAGGTGCATCTTCTGTTGGACCATCTCTTTGCTTGAATTCCATGTGTAGTAACTGGTGTCAATTCACCATCTTGGGCAATTTAACTCCTTATTTTATCTTTTGAGCAGGCAAGAGATCAGGCAGTGGTAATAGGGGCTTTTTATAGCTCTGATAGAGGGTGTGAGACTTCCTTCAGTCTTTATGTCCAGTCCATTCTTTGGCAGGGATGTTAACCGGTAAGTATGAGGCTTTGTCATAAGAACAGATCATTTATAAATGATTGGACAGTATTGGTAAACTTCTGAAAAAAGTGAAATGACTCCAAGGTACATGGATAAAGGAGACCAATGACAGAATCCTTTGTTAAAATAAATGATCATACCTTAGCCTACAACTAGCAACAGAAGGCAGAGTATGATGGCTAGATTGTTGTGATGATGTCCAAGGCCAGCTTGTGATATCATGAGTGCCAATCTTCCTCCTTTTTTATAATATATATAAAATTGATGGGTGAAGGAGGAAGAATGGCTCTCATGACATCACAAGCTGGTTTCGGAACCTAAACTTCAGTACAACAGTTAATTAGAACCCACGAGCACTGAGAACTTAAAAAAGTTGTGTTGCTCTGTGGACTGGAGGCTTCACACACTATGGCTGTGTCTAAACTACAGCCCTTTTTTGATAAAGGGATGTAGATTAGGCACGTCGATATTGGAAATGAAGCCAGGATTTAAATATCTCGCATTTCATTTGCATAATGGTGGCTGCTGCTTTTTTTCGAAATGGGGCTTTTTAAAAAAAACCTGGCAGTTTAGATGGGACATTTTCGACAGAAATGCCATTTCAAAATATCCTGTATGCCTCAAAAAATGGATCTTTTGAAATGGGGCATTTCTGTTGAAAATGCCCCATCTAAACTGCTGGGTTTTTTGTTTTTTTTTTCTCGAAAAAGCCCCGTTTCAGAAAAAAGCAGCAGCCGCCATTATGGAAATGAAGCGCGAGATATTTAAATCTGCACCTAGAATAATACTGTCCAGAATGTATTTCTGAACCTTAAAGACTCTTTTCAGGAAGTCATAGTCAGGCCTGGCCAAAGAGTTTGTGGGGCCCATGGCAGCATGGCTGAGCTGCACGGCTCCCAGTCTGGGCAGCAAGTGAGTGGCCGGGTGGGCGGGGCCAGGAGCTGGGCAGCGCAGGGCCCTGCATACGTGAGACCCAAGGCAATCGCCTTGCTCGCCTTGCCAAAAGACCAGGCCTGGTCATAGGGGTGTGCTTCATGAAAGTATTTAGGTTCCTGAGGATCTCTTTTGGTTCTAATGCAATCCACAAAACTCCTACCCAGCCCTGTTCAAATAACTTCTCCTCCTGCAGCAGAGAGGGGAGGACTGAACCTGAGTCTCCTTCACTAGGATAAACACTGTAAGGTGGATACTACCGCCAGTGACACCTCCTCCTCTGTCACTTTGTGTAGGGCAAGGCAAGTTCCCATCTCATTCCTGCAAGTGGTGCCTAAGACATCTGACTTCAGTTCACAGGTGTCTGGTCAAACATAGCTAATCTGATGTAGGTGTCCCTCTGCAGCCTGGACATGGAAGTCTATCTGTGAGAAAATGGAGGGACTTAGGACACGCCCTTATATGTCGGTATCTCCCATTGTCTAACAAGTGACATTGCATTCTAAGGTGCCTGTTTATCCCCATTCATTGCATAGAAGCCTAGGCATCTAACTTGGCTTTATGGATTCTAGATTTTCTAGGTACCTAAAAATTAGGCAGTGTAATGCTCAGCATTGCAACACTGCAGTCCCTTTGTGGAGCCCACCCGGGTCAATAAGCTTTCATAGTGCCCAAATAGGAAGCTGCAGCATAGGCAGGGAAGGGAAGTGGTTATTGCTGCTGGGAAAAGAAACCACTTGAAATGAGGATGGAGTTATTATGAAGCAGCATCTTCAGCACATAGGGTGAAATTCAGGCCCTACTGAAGTCCATGGAAGTCTTGCCATGGGCTTGAGTGGAGCCAGGAGTTTACCTATAATCCAGATATTGCCATTATTTAGAGACAAATCAGAAAATTTTTATTCCTAAAAAACATGATCTTATGCCAAGAAATTCCCTATCCCATATTATAACTGCAGAAGAAAACGAATAGGCAGAAGTGAATCCCTAAAAAGCCCTGATTCTAATACCAAGAGTGACTCTCCTGAAATCAAAGCGGCTACCCTGGTTCAGTGGGAAGAGGATTACAGTGCCTAATCTTCATTCAGCATCATGGAAAACTCTACAGCCCAATTAACCCATCACCATTGGTAGGCAGCAAGTAAGCCAGTTACTGCTGAGGGAGAGTGAAGCAACAAACATACCTCTAACTAGCTGGTCCCACTCAGTCTTGCTGTATTGTAGAGTAGTAGTAGTTAGGAAATGTAGTGAATGATATTGCTGAGAAATCCTGAAATAACGTAGAAAATATTAATGAACGTTGGTGAGATGAAATGGGGCCAGAAGGGAAGATGCTGTGATATGAAGTGAAAGTCTTAAGAAACAGGTTGCGTAGTATATACCGAGAAACATAATAAGGAGAATAGATTGTGTCATTGCTGCTCAGTTGCTAATAATAGAGCTGTTTTGAAACTTCTACCTTCTAGCTGCTGAGAATTTTAAAAACCATGCAACACAAAGAGCTGGCTTATGGCCTGACTAAAACAAATGAAGGAGGCTCCAGGGAAATGTGCTTCTGCCTTCCTTATATCCATTAATTGGTGACAAAGTGAAATAAAGGGGGAAATGACCTGACCAACTGGAATACAGATAATAACTATCAATGAGGTAGCAGTGCCCAAGGGCTCCAGTCATGGTCTGGAGCCCTGTTGTGTTTGGTGCCATACTAATATAGTCCCTGCTTAAAGAGCTTATAATTTAATTATGATGATGATGGTTTCTCTGATACATTGCACAGTTACCAAGCTACAATCTACAGGTTCTCAAACAGTCTTTATATAGACAGTAATGACTTTCAGCCATCGTTGGCCAGGGCTGGATTTGAACCAGAGTTCTAGTCAAGGAGGCTTCTGCAATATGTTATAAATCTCCATAGTAATACAGTGTTTAAGACCATTACAGTATAGCAAATTGGCATGGACGTTCTGCTCTCCTAATTTGTTCTGGCAGGAACAGATCTCTGTTTAATCTAAGGCAAAAAACAAGATTCTTTCCAGGGTATATGCTGACTTACATAAACAGTTACTGCAGTGGCTTTTTGACAGTATAATGCCCTTCCCATCCTGGTCCTCCCCCGCCACCCTATCCCCTATTGCTTAACCCTTTAGTTAACAAATAGTAGTTACAAATCTGCAACCTCCGATTGCAGAAGTATGCCACCCTTGGATATTTATATGGGGTGTTACCACTATAAGTTTATTTCCAGGGAGTTCTAATGTTCATGAAAATGACCTGTGGCCAAAACCAAAGCTTTTCTACAATATCCACTGCACCATGAGCTTTATTTACAGATGAGCAGAAGCGGTTTCATCTGCATAGTGCAATAAAAGGGCAATGAAAATGCAGCTGTGCTGAGGAATGTTGCAGCTGTTCCACAGTAGGAAGGTTATTCATTCTTCAGGATCCGTGGTCTCCAACTTTTTTAAGCACAAGATCACTTTTTGAATTGAAGTGCAATCCAGGATCTACCTCAGACCTAAATACCCTGGCCCAGCCTCCTTCAAGTCTCTTCTTTGAGGTCCTGCCTCTATTCACTCCATCATCCCTCTTCCACTGTCCACCTTCTTTTTCACCAGGCAGGGGCAAAGGGTTGGGGCACAGGATCAGGCCTTGGGCTAAAGGATTTGGAGTGGTAGCAGGGATTCGGAGCTAGCTCCATCTAGACACTGCTTACCACAGGTGGCTCCTGACTGTGGTGCAGTGGGGCTAAGAAGGCAGGCTCACCCCTGCCTTGGCCCTGCACCGCTCTTAAAAGCAGCCAGCAAACTCCCTCCATCCCAAGTCCTGTTGTCCCCTCCTCCCATTCTGCAGAGACAGAATACAGGGTGGAACAGGGGCACCTAACATCAGTGTCCACCCTCTCTTCCTGCACTGCACAGCAAGCAGCAGGCTCCTGGCAAGGGGAGGCAGCTCCAAGGCAAAGGGCAGGAGATGCACAGCAGTGGGGGGAGAGGCAGCTGCTGTGCTGCACGTGATAGCCTCTTGGCCAAACCAGTCAAGATGACCTGTCAGAGGCTCCAAGATCTACCAGTAGATTGGGATCTACTGGTTGGTGACCCCTGCTCTAGATAAATAAAGGTATTTATACTATAACCTTAAAAACCTTAATATCAGACACTACAATTATTCTCAAACTGAAACATATTTCAACAATTAGCTACAATTAGCTACTTTTATCACAAACAGCTCTTTGCTATTTGAGCACCTCTCTGCATTCAAATATTTACCTAGGGGATGCCAACATAAATAATGTCTGCACAGTATTATACTGACTTTGCAACTGGAGTGATAGTGCTGTCACTGCTATAACTTGAGAAAGATGCCTCCAGAAACAACTGCTCCAGTATCACTTTGGCAAGCCAAGTGTCAGGTTCTCTTAACTACGTCACTTTTAAGGTTTTTTGACAACAGAGAAAACAAACACGAGGAGTCTTGTGGTGCCTTGAGTATACCAGAGTATTAAAGGGAGGTAAGTTCCATCTTTTGCCTGTCTTATCTGGGTTCTGCTTTAGACAGCTACTCTTCCTGCAGATGCTCATTTTGACCGGGCAGTGAGAAAGCTGGGAGATATCTGGGAGAAAGTTGTCCCATATCTTTGACATAAAGGAGATGTGGAACTGGAAGTGGTCTGCTCCCACATTGCTTTTCAGCATCTATTGTCATGTTGGCTCTCCCAGTAACTTCATATTGAATGCTATCATGGGAGAGGAGTAAGCCTTTCTGCTTTACATGTTTAATGTCATTACATTTTTGCTATAGAAGCACAAACCCTGATCTCTCAGATCTTGCACAGAAGAGTGTGTTTACTTCTAGAATGCATTCATTTGAAACTTGAGGACTAAACATTTTCTGTTAATGCTTTTAGATACTACATTGTTTTTACTGTTTCACTTCCCAATTGCACATATGAATTGCATTTTCACTGTATTCATCACTTTGCTAATACAGTTTGAACTCCCTCATTCTTACTACTATTTTGCATAGGAAGGGTGGTTTCAGTAATCTCCCAAGCCCTTTTTCTTATTAGAATGCAGATGAAGACAGAAGTACTACTATCTTTCCTTATGCTTAATTCCACCAAATGAGGAGATAATAAAGTGCATCTTCATAATTGCTTCCTTGCCCATCAAGTTGTGCACCATCCCCACTTGTTTCTGTGGGAACCCAGTGCAAAAGGCAGCCCTCAAATTAAAGTGCTACACAGTCCTGTATTTTGTCTCAGATTATACAAAACTCAAAAGAATTTTAACTGAATCAGCATTTCAGGAATTGTCCCCAATATACAACTGAAAGCTGAATAAAAATCACTTGCTTTGATAAATGGAACTTTCCTATCATGGCTAATGACACTTACATAAAATGGTCTTTTCAGACTTTCCAGGGGAAAACTATTTAACTATGAAGAATCTAGAGAGCTGTAATTTAGGAAGTGCATATTTGAGATTAAAAAACCTATTTGTACACATACTAACTGTCTTTACAATGAGGGTACGTCTACACTGTGGACCTATTTCAGGATACCGGAAATATCCTGAAATAGCTATTTCGTGTCTATTGAAGCATCCCATTATTTCTATATAGATTTCGAAATAACAAGTGGCTTAATCCGACGTCCCGGTAACCCTCGTTCCATGAGGGCTAAGGGGCATTTTGGAATAGCGAGTTATTTCTAAAATTGGTGCTGTGCCAAATCACAACATAAGCTATTTCAAAATACACTCAAAATAAGCTATGCAATTATTTTGAGCTAAGGGTGCTGTGTAGACGCACCCTGACCTGTTCCACCAAGCAGAAACACTGCAAAATGGTACCTTGCGGAATGACACTGGAACAGCTTTTATAGTAGGGATGCTAAAAGCCCCTGGACAAAACTGCAAATCCCTGTATATGATCAAAACCTCTTCAAGCCATATGGGGCTGCCACATCTCCATTCCAATTGCCCTGCTTTGCAGGTAAGATCAGCCAAACTGCAGCGTTCTCAGTTAAACCCCACACTACCTGCCCTGGATGCTGAGTGCTGGCCCTGAGAAGCTGCAAACTGAAACAGCAATTGGCTTTTAAGGGTGACATGTTAGGAATGTGTCATGTGTATAACTGGGCCAAAAAGAGAAGGCAGCAGTTAGACGATACCTGACCACACTGCCAGGCAGGTCAGTGGAGCTGCACCAGTAAACCTGATCCATACTGCAAATCTCAAATTGCTTCCTCCCATGGGACAAATCAGTAGGGTAAGACAGGGGCCGAGGGCAGAAAACTGTTTGTTCTTGGAGAGTTTCTCCCTACTACTTTTAATTGGGTGGGATTTGTTCTTCCAGCCCTTGTTCCCAGTACAGAATAAGTCACAGGGACTGCCCAGAAATCCATTGATGAGAAGGGCCTGTACCCCCCCCCCCAGGAACTCTATACCTGCACCCATACCCCCTCCACAAGCACATGGTAGCATATACTTAAAAACTTCCTTGCCCCACCTTCCCAAAAGAGGGACCCCTCACCTTCACTGCAGACTGGGTTCTGTGGGATGGACAACCCAGGACTGTCTTACTTAAGAATCTCTGTGAGGGTGAAGATTGGTTGAAGCGTGTGTCCATTTAGTCCCTGTCTCCTCCCACTGAGTACATCTTGTGTGGCCTGCAGGAATATATGAAGTATAAATTACAGTTGCAGTCTGCTGTTGCTGAGAACACACTATTAAATCATTTATGAATGTTCACTGAAAATGTACCCAATTTCTATCCAAACTTTCTGGGACCACTAGGGAAATATGTACAAATTCTAATAAATATGATTTTTTGAAAAGTTCACTTTAATTATAGAACCGAAACAAAACATTGGCATTTCCTAGTTACTTTGGAAGAACTGTACAATCTGGATATGTTTTCTTTAGCCAGTTGTGGATCTGAAGAGTGAGGCTATTTACTTCTATATTATGGCCTTTGTGTCACAACTCATGATAGTACAATAATGCATCAGTGTTTGCAGTTTAATCAGTGGTTTGATCTAGCTTCACTTTCACAAGTTACTTTAAACAGCAATGTATAGTCATGTACTTTTAATTGCTGGGCTTATTGGGCTTTTTGGACATGCCTCTTTATTGTACATTTTTAATTATAATGATATTTCCAGATGCATTGGGATGAGATGGCCTACCGCAGCACATGAAATGTGAGCTACAGTATGTACACTTGGATAGACCACTATCGCACGGTAATTTATAGCCATCTACAGGCACTGCAGAAATCTGGAAGCAGAAAACATCTGTAATGTGGGTTAGTGATTTGCTGGATTTGATATTTATAAATGAGTGTCAAATTTATGGTTGAATTCTGACCATGTCCATCATATTCAGTTGCCCATATGCATGTGAATTGCTAAATTAGAAATACAGATGTTGGAGAGAGGCACGAGAATAATATTTCTGCTTTAGATCCTCTTACATGATTTTTTCCCCTCTGGCCCCCATCCTCCTGTTCCACAGAGGACTCTGAGAAAAAGATACACCTGTATTACATACCTTCTGTGTTAAGAGGACATGAGGAAAAGCTGATGTATTATGCTCTTGAAAGATAGAGGAAAATTGGCATTTGCACAGAAATAAATAGGATGTTGCCACCTAGCCTTGCACAGCCCCATCTATGGATACATTTATCATGCTTATCTCTGGTGTCCAACGATCCATAGGAAGTCATCCTTTCAGCCCTGTGGAGATCCTGCCTCTCTGACCCTCCCAAGCCCACCTAAAAAAACCAGATCTGTGTTTGGCTCAGGTGCAACGCTGCCATTGGTCCCCTTGGGACATGTACATGCTTCCTCCCCATCGGAGGATAGTTAAAGGAATGGAGGGGTGCAACAAGCAGTGCTACTTTACATGGAAAATTGCCGTGGGACTTGACTGGGAGCATGCTGTACAGGGTAAATAGTCCCTTACCGCCATCCTTTATAGACAGCCATGTTCATCAAACTGCATTTTTAACCTGGTCTGGTGAAGCCACAGAGCAAGTGTTACTCATTTGTCCTTTCCGCCTGCTTTTAATGGCAAACATAGTTATGGAGCCAGTCTACACCTAGTACAGTAGAAGAGACTGTCGTAGGAGAGTAAGATCACGGCCTTTTCTGTTGCTATAGATGAGGAGCATTTTACTCTTGTCCTTAATTCTTTTCAGTCCATAGCTGCAATAAGATAGTGACTGTATAGGTGGGAGGATTCTTATAATATAATGAAAGTCACTTTGGTTTTAGAAAGAATATGGCTGCACCAAGCTTTGGGCCCCAAATCTCTCTCTAATGCAGGTAACCCCCATCTCCACCCCTGAATGTTTTGCTCTGCTGCTGTCTTTAAAAATCCCAATGCTGCATTTTGGGGATTTTACTTAAACATAGGCCTCATCCCCTGTGCAATGGCTAGTACCCTGATTGCTGCATAGTCCTCATTCTCAATGAGGCATAATAACTGCAATTATTCCATTCCTTACCCCCGCTGCCCTTCCAAGCACATGCACCCTATTGGGGCCTGGGAGAAAAGACAAGAACAATCGGTTTATGCATGTGAATGGGGACAGAGTTTTTTCCCTTTCTCTGTCTAATAACTTGGGGGCTCCGGGAGTCCACTGGTCATGGTTTATGCTAAGATTCCATTTGATAAAGGGTTAAATATTTTAACCCACTGTTAGTGCCACAGGGCAACAGGTTGGTTATACCCATTTATAACGCCTACTGTTGTGCTCCTAACTACAACCCATACTGCTCATTTCTGGACCAGGCTTACAATATCTGTTATCATTTGGAATGTTTAGTATCAAGTATGACCAGCTAACAGATGGATTCCATACACATTTTGGGTCACAGGTTCCATGTCATAGTACAAAGGTCTCAGAATTTCTAAGGTCACCTATTTTTCCATCCTTACAGGGCCCACAGGAGTGTGTAGTAGGGGAGAAAGAATCCACAAAACCTCGCTGTATTTTCTGTACAGTGTCCTTTGCTCTAGGAAATGCTTATGGGGCTGTAGAACAGGGGTCAAGGCAGGACTCTCAATGCCATAGATCATGGTGGTTCACAAGAAAGGGAACCCCAGCATTAGGGGCTTTCTGCAGGGATACAATTTATACCTTGGTAGCATGGCTCTTGCTGTAGTTGTTGGTTGGGTCATTGGGTATGCTGAGCAACATGCATGTTCAGGGACTTGGAGAGAGTTAACAGAACATGGAACATGACTCCCAATTGGTTTTCTATACAGAAAGCCACCTACTTTGTAGGCAATGGTGCAATACTGGAATAACTTTGGCTGAGGGGCAGAGCAGAAATTCTCCAAAAATAATGAATCATCAGAGTCCTTTTTGCACTGAGCACCCAGGGATCAACATTGTAGGGGCATGTGACAGGGTGTGCATACCCTGCACTGAAGCAGGTGGGATTAAAACCCTGTGAGCGGAGGAAATCCCGCCCCTCCATCCAGACTGGGCATGCTCCAAATTCTGGGGTAGCATAAAAGGCAGCAATGCAGCTCAGTGTGGTCAGCTCTCTGAAGGAGAAGGACCTTCAGCCAGAGCTCCAGAGATTTACCAGCCAGCGGGAGCAAGAGCCCCAGGAGACGGCTGCCACTCAGCCCCAGAACCACCCCAGGGAGAATCAGCTGCCGGGGAACCAGAAGACTCAGCCACTACATTGGACGTCACCCCACCAGCAAAAGTGACCTAAGGAGGGTGCAGGCGTGGCCTCTCCCACCCAGGTAAACGCGGCATGTTTCAGGTAGATTCCCCGCCAATGGAATGACCGACTGCTCTGCTGTGCACAGGGCCCCGGGCTGGGACCTGGTGGAGTAGGATGGGCCCAGATCCCCCCGCCTGGGTGATTGGTCCCAACCCCCAGCTTATTGAGTTTGGCCACTAGGCTGTACCACCCTGAATTAAAGGGCCATTTCCTACTGACTGTGGTCACTAGACTGAGTTTGCCCTGAACCAAGGACTATCCCTTATGGACCCTGGCTGTCAGGCCACACCTCCCTGATCGAAGAGCTACCCTATTACTTTAACCATTGAGCTGCTCTAACCTAGAGTGCGGGCAGGTTTTCAGAGACTAAGGGAGATTGCCAACGGCCTGGCAGCCGATGGGGCAACATCCACACCCCGGACAACTCTCCCTGCAAGGGACTGGGTGTGCATACAACACAACAGGGTGCTAGGGCAAGAAAGGGCCAGAGCTCTGGAAGAGGAAAGTGGCACACCAGAGGCTCCCTTCTGCACCCATGCAGAAAAGATGCACTGGGATATCCCGATGCTTCCCACAAAACTGATGTGTGTGTCAATGTGTGTCCTGCCACCTACTCATGAGTGGGGGGCAGGAGAAAAGTGTTTAGCAGTTGATGAAGAACATGGCTTGAAACACACACTAAAGTGTTGATGATGTGACTGTAGGGATTGCATTTTTAAAAACTTATAATAAGATGCCACAGCCACACACGGACACATGCAGCAAATTTCCAAGCCTCTGGGAGTCTGATAGTCCCCAGTCCTTCTCCACATACAGACATTGCCTGTTGTGCTCTTAGCAAAAGAAACATTTATAATTTCCAGTGCTTATTCTCTGCCACAAATTAATTTTTGATAGTTCATGGTAATATTCTGGTTTCTGCCACACCTCCTCTATTCCCCACCCCCCAAATGCTTTGCCCTCCTCTTTGCAGGGAACCATTTTTGAGCTGCAGGTCAGTACAAAGTGGCAGCATACCAAGTAGTAGGTTTTAGATTATATAGAATTTGGAAGGAAGCTTAGTAATAAATTGATACATTGTTCAGCACGTAATCCATGGAAGCCTATGGCCCATTGTTCTATGCACTTGAAGTGCTGGTACTGAGTAGGAGAATTACATCAATAGAATTACATGCAAGATACTTCTTTTTATTTTGCAGAAGAGTTAGTTACACATCTGGCTAAGTTTGAGCACTAACACTTGGCTTTATAAATGGAGATTTTGACTCTGCTCAAAGGAGTTTCCAGAATTTCATAGGGAAGAAATAATCCTTCATTAGAGGCTGGCATATGACTGACTGTTCTGAGTTACCTGTCAAAGTGTTAGGGTGTATTTACACAGCAAAGTTATTTCGGAATACCAGCCGTTATTCCGATTTCTGTAAATCTCATTCTATGAAGAATAATGTCTATTCCAAAATAGCTATTTCAAAATAAGGTGTGTGTAGATGCTCCACCTCTGCTATTTTGAAATAGCCCTTCTCCAGCGCCATTCTAATTTTTTCCTCCTGGGGCTCTAAATTGAGATAGCATGTCTACATTAGGGAAGCCTGCCTCGGACTAATTTTGAGGCATCCCTGCAGTGTAGACATGCTATAAGGTATTTCAGAATAACTATTCTGGAATAGTTTATTCCAAAATAACTGCAAATTATTGGGTTCTTTTCAAATATGGAGCTGCCATGACCCTGTTCAATTAAATTTGACAGCAGATGTATGCACAACACCCTTAGCTAGTACTGGTGTAAAAATTTTTGTGTTAGTTTCTGTTCCAATAGGTAATGTGTTAACTGGTGGAAGATGGTGGGGTTTTTTGTTTTGTTTTGTTTTGTTTTAAACATGGGGAATCCCACAGCCTCCACCTTGTTAGTCATGTTATGCTAAGCAGTTCACACAAGGAACAATAACGGGGGGAACTCCACTCTGCCCTGAAGAGTTAGAGTGAAACTGGAATGGTGACAGCTAACAGACTTCTTCCTGTTACAGGTAGAACCAGTACTTAGAGATGCCTCTGATTAACAAGTGAAAATCAGAGTGTTCTTTCTCTCTCTCCCATGATTTATTGTGCATAAATTGTTCTGAGCCACAAAAGCCTCACAAGGAAATCTTCAAAAAGTATTAGTTGTTGCTCTATTTTTGTTTTTAATCTTTCTCCATCGGTTCCTTCTATGTGCAGAGGGAGAGAGAGGCAATGTCACGGTTTGAGAAATGAAAACTGATTTCTGAAGGGGCAGATGCAGATTGATGGACTCAGGGCCAATAGTGAGAACAGGGCTGCAGACCATGATACAGATGTGAAATCTGAGTCAATACAGTTATGTTTGAAGATGGTTTGGCATTTGGGGTTTATTTCTCTCTTCTTGTTTCAAACAAGAAGGGCCTGCCTTCAGGCCTATCCTGATAGTTTCCAGCCATGGCTTTAGTTTAACCACATAGTGACAGAGCTCTGAACCAGTTATGTCAAGGAGCGTTATTGAACTTGGTCCCCATGGGCACTTCTACACAGCAGGGCTAAAGCCGAAATAAGCTATGCAACTTGAGCTACGTCAATTGTGGAGCTTAAGTTGAAATAGCTTATTTCGGCTGTTGGCATTGTCTACACAGCAGGAAGTCCAAGAAAGAGCACTCTTCCTCCAACTTCCCTTACTCCTCATAAAATGAGGGTTACAGGAGTCAGAGTAAGAAGTCCTCTAGCATGACAGTATTTCAACATTATGTTGAAATAACTGCTCGTAGTGTAGACACAGACTAAGTTATTTCAGAATACCACTGCTGTGTAGACATAGTCCATATTACCTTCTCTGCCAAAACTGTGCTAACCATGTATTCACATCCAAATTGACGATGCTGCCTAAGAATGTCTATGCATTGGCACATAGTGGGAAAGTCTGAGCAGCTATTGTGTAGTGCTTCCATTGGTGCAGAGCATTTGGGATCAGATTTTTCCAAGATGTCCCCAACTCATTATCCAAGACTGGGATTTACCTACAAGTCCCAGAACTCTTTGGTCTCTTTCCATTATGGATCCCTCCTTGGCAAGTCAGGTGGCTTTGTTCTTCAACTTTGGAAGTTAGTTGCTTGACAGTCTTGAAAGCAAAGAGGGGAGAAATGATATTAAACTGTTTAAGATAGTCAAGACAGAAGCAGACTGTGAAGAACTTCAAAAAGATCTCACCAAACTGAGTGAGTGGGCAACAAAATGGCAAATGAAATTTAATTTTTACAAGTGTAAAGTAATGCACATTGGAAAAAATAACCCCAACTATACGTATAGTATGATGGGGGCTAATTTGACTATGACAAATCAGGAAAGAGATCTTGGCGTTACCGTGGATAGTTCTCTGAAACCTTCCACACAGTGTGCAGAGGCAGTCAAAAGGTGAATAGGATGTTAGGAATTATTAAGAAAGAGATAGAAACTAAGATCCAGAATATCTTACTGCCCCTGTATAAAACTATGGTACGCCCACCTCTTGAATACTGGGTACAGATGTGGTCTCCTCACCTCAAAAAAGATATTTTAGCCTTGGAAAGGGTTCAGAAAAGGGCAACTAAAATGATTAGGGGTTTGGAACGGGTCCCATATGAAGAGAGGCTAAAACGACTGGGACTTTTCAGTTTAGAAAAGAGGAGACTCAGGGGGGATATGATAGAGGTATATAACATCATGAGTGGTGTGGAGAGGGTGAATAAAGAAAAGTTATTTATTAGTTCCCATAATAGAAGAACTCGAGGACACCAAATGAAATAAATGGGTAGCAGGTTTAAAACTAAGAAAAGAAAGTTCTTCTTCACACAGCGTGTAGTCAACCTGTGGAACTCCTTGCTAGAGGAGGCTGTGAAGGCTAGGACTATAACTGAGTTTAAAGAGAAGCTAGATAATTTCATGGAGGTTAGGTCCATACAAGGCTATTAGCCAAGGGATAGAAATGGTGTCCCTGGCCTCTGTTTGTCAGAGGCTGGAGATGGATGGCACGAGACAAATTGCTTGACCATTGTCTTTGGTCCGCCCCTTCTGGGGCACCTGGTGCTGGCCACTGTCAGCAGACAGGCTACTGGGGGATATGGACCTTTGGTCTGACTCAGTATGGCCATTCTTATGTTCTTATGATTACAGAAGACAGACAATTTCTGTCCCTACACATTGCTGAGCTGAACTGCAGGGAATCTAGATTAATTCTAGGATAGGCCCAGTTCTGCCCACTATTGGGAGGCTGGTTTGGTTGACAACTCAGATGATGAAGTGGGTTTTATCCACTAGGGATGTAAGCGAGTAGTTGAATAGTCGACTACCCAATAAGCCTAGGTTTATCAAGTAGTTGAGTTGAGTACTCTCTTCCACCCCCTTGCTGCCTCTATATCAGAGACAGCAAGTGGGGAGTGGGAACTTATGCTGAGGGGTGCCGGCTTAAAAGCTGGTTCCCCCCCCAACACTGTCTCTGCAGTGCCGCCTGCTCCCTCCTCCCCACTCCTGCCTCTATCAGAAGCAGCCTCTGTCAGCAAGGGATCCAGGCTCGCTGCAGGCAGAGGCTGCTCCATCAGCAGCCCCTGTCCATGGGGGAATGCTAGCTCCCCACTGAGACCCCCCCATGGACAGGGATTGCTGAACGCAGCGTAAGCCAAGACTAAGCAAGTCTGGCTCAGTACTGGCTCGCACTGGGTCCGGGACCTACACCTGCTGTGCCTCTGCAGTTTAAATGTAGTAGGAGCTGGCTTCTACTACATTTAAACTGCAGAGCTTCCACTGGAGTAGCTCCTGGACCCGGCGCAAGCTGGGACTAAGAAAGCCTTCTCTTATTGACCAATTGTGTAGTCGATAAAAAAAATTATCAACTACATGATTAGTGAATTACCCGCCTCTTAACATAGGGTATGTCTACACTACCACCCTAGTTCGAACTAGGGTGGTTAATGTAGACAACCGAAGTTGCAAATGAAGCCCGGGATTTAAATATCCCGGGCTTCATTTGCATCTTGCCGGGTGCCGCCATTTTTAAAGCCCCAGTAGTTCGGACTCTGTGCCCGCGGCTACACGCGGCACGGAGTAGGTAGTTCGGATTAGGCTCGCTAATCCGAACTACCGTTACTCCTCGTGGAACAAGGTGTACCGGTAGTTCGGATTAGAGAGCCTAATCCGAACTACCTACTCCGTGCCACGTGTAGTCGCGGGCACAGAGTCCGAACTACCGGGGCTTTAAAAATGGCGGCGTCCGGCAAGATGCAAATGAAACCCGGGATATTTAAATCCCGGGCTTCATTTGCAACTTCGGTTGCCTACATTAACCACCCTAGTTCGAACTAGGGTGGTAGTGTAGACATACCCATACCTATTACCCACAAAAGCTCATGATCCTATATAGAACTACTGTTGGTTAACATTGTATGCAACATTGCATGCAGAATCAAAATGTGGTTACTGAGACTTTTGTCATTTATAAAAAGAAATATAGAGGTTCATCTTGAAGGTTGCACATTAATTCCCACAATAATTTCATGATCCTCAATACACTTTCATACAGCTTATGCTACAGTTAGTTTCTAATGTTTTAAGCATAAGGAAAAAAGAGTAATTTTTAAAATTGCTAGAAACTCACCCATGAAAAACGTTACAAGAAAATTGCATTCATGTTACTGATATTTTGTGTTCTGCAAAACCACTTCAGTTTTTCCTTTCTGATAGTTTGAAATTTATAAGAGGTTTTTTTCCCTTTCTTTCTTTGTACCCAGTGATGTCTTCATTGTCTCTGGTGCTTTAGGGGCTGTTTCTGCTTGCTGAGGCAAATGAGGGCAGCAAAGGCCGCAGGAAATTCTGTTACTGGTTTCCCAGTGGTTGACTCCTTTTTTTCCTCAGCTCCTGCCTTTTGGTGCCTGCAGCTCAGCCCCACAGACATTTTTTCCCCTTCCATCCTCTCTGTCTTAGAAAGCAGGCATGCCCCTCAACAAAACAAGAAAGCGGGAACATGAGAGAGAAACCATTATGGCAATATGACAAAATTCAAGAAGTTGAATGAGCTAATAGATTTACTTCAGAAAAACAAAATTAATAGGGGTAATATATTTGAAATGGAGGGGTAGAGGGCAGAGTAGAATGTAAGTGGGTGCACCCCGGTGCACAGCTCCAGCAAGAGTTGGCTGAGCTGCAGCAAAAGCCAGCAGAGAGCTATTTAAAGAACTGGAAGGGACCCGGGTTGCAATAGGACAGTACCTGTAAGAAACGTTAAGTTACTTTCACTGCTGGGACGGGGTATACTATTCTAAACCCCATTCACAAACAACTCTGCTCATATGACTAATCAAAATGAGATGCTATTCACAGGATCTGTGGATGTTTACGATATGATACTGTGTGGCATTTCACTGAGATCCTTAAACCTAGCTATCCCTCTCTTGAGCTTAAATTTGCCTACGGGCTTGTTGGCTCTTTCTTAATGGAGAGAGGAGTAGTGAATATATGTTGTGTCTCAAATCCCACCCCATTTGTGACACCCAAGTCACCAATTCAGGATACTTTGTACAAATACTTTGTAGTCTTGTACAAAAGTTTGGGGAGTTTTCACACTAGACTTTACAATGTTATACACCTCAAGTTCATCAGCATTCAAAAATTAGTGAAGCCAAGCCCAAAGATGAATGGGGAAGTTCACACCTCCCAAAGCTACTGTTCCAGGTTCTCTGCAGCCTTTTCTCCAACAGTGTGTATTTTGAGGTTTTCTTAATCAAACCATCAGATCTATACTAGAAAAAGTTTGCCTTGCAATTTCCTCCTAGTGTAGATGCAGCTTCTGTTGGTATCAGAATGGTTTCTCAGGCATAGTTTATATCACTATATTGTCTTAAAGCCGTGGCCCACTGTTTGACTACATGTGCAGTTTATTCTTAAGAATGGTCAAGAGGCCAGATAACCAAATTTACGGCTGGTCTACACTAGAAAAATAGATCAACCCATCTGTGTCACTCAGGATTCTACCCCCATGTGTGAAGTAGTTGATCCAACCTAAGTCCCCATGTAGACAGTGCTAGGTAAGTGGAAGAATTCTTCTGGAGACCTTGCTACTGTGTCTCAGGGAGGTGGATTATCTATGCTGACAGAAGAAACCCTTTTGTCACAATAGGTGGTATCTGCACTGAAGCATTTCAAGTGTACACAAGCACTTAGCCAAATTTATTGTCTAAAGACAAAGCAGTGCAATATGAAAAGGAGATGTGGATAGTCTCCCGGGAAACAATTCTAAACAGCCTGTTCACATTATACAGAAGGTGTATTACAAAGACACACATTTTCACTATTTGCATTTATAATATATTTACAAGTTACAAAAGTCCTGACACATCACTAAAATCTAGCCCACCAGTCCATAACAGTTCCTTAGCTTTTTCCTTGGTTTTGTACTTTTCTTGTCTCTGGTTTGGAAACTACATTCCAAACCCTCTGCCCAGGACGGTAACTATACTAGGACACAGAACAAATATATTTTGATTTTGACAGATTTTATGTTTGCTAGTGCCAAAGCTGACCAGCTTTGCAGTGTGTGATGGGATAAGTTGCAAGAGTAAGTATGCCTCTCAAATATTAAACTTTGGGTAAATATGTATATATAATGTATATAGGTTTGACCTGTATGGTCCAGACTTCTACAGTCCTGCACCATCTGTAGTCCAGTTTCCCCATGGGTGTTCACTAGCTGGAGCACTCATGGGGAAAAGCCAGCATCCCTGCTGAGCAACTACACCCCCACTCTCCCAGAGGACAGCAAGCTCAGGGAGGGAGGGGGAGAGGAGGAGATATGACGTGCTTGAGGGAAGAGGCAGGGTGGCTGCAGAGTCCAGCAGCCAGAATCTGGAAGCATAGCCTTGCAGTGGGGTCCGGGAAGGCAGCCCAGCTGCCATGGGCCTCGGTGCGCTCCCATGGGGCTGCGCTTCTAGACCCCGTTTTGCCTTACCTTGAGTGCCTCCCCCTCCAATCCTTGCTTAGTCAATACTAACCCCCTGCTGCCGCCAAAGTGCAGCCCAGCAGCCAGTTGCAGCAGAAGGGCCATCACTGACCTCCCCAGGCCTGCTAAAATTGTCTGGGACCAGGAGAAACAACCTGTAATACATATTAATATGGTATAACATGTGCCAGGTATACTGGCTAACCACTATCTCAAGCAAAATCAACTTTTGTATGCAGCTAGTTCTTCATCTACACATAAGGGGGTTACCAATACTGAAATTCTGCAAAGCCTCTGCCCCTGGTCAATTGCTATTACCAGTGGTCCCCAACGCGGTGCCCGTGGGCGCCATGGTGCCCGCCGGGCCATTTATGTGCGCCTGCGGAGCAATCTGGGCTGGCCCCGCCCCCGGGCGTGCGGCAGGTGTCAGCCCCGGGCGCATGGCCGGCCCCGGGTGTGCCG